GCCATATTCTGTAGGTCTTTGAAGTGTTTGAAGATTACCTATATATCTAAAATGTATCTCTGTATAACCTTGAAAACATACCTAACATAAATATACATTTGATTGTTATAGATGACTATTAACCTGCATTTCTTTATTTTCCTAAATAGCTTTAAAGGACTAAAACTTCACATTTTAAATGATCTGTATAGGTACAAGGTACAATATCTTAAACAAGAAATAGAAACATAATACAGTATAATAGAAATAACCTTAAATTTGTATTGATTGGTATATAGGGCAATATGCTATACAGGGCATATATGAAGCAGCTGCCGGTCTTGAATAAGATTATTAATAGAGAAATTATTTCTGGAGAAATGGTAGAAATTATATTCCTATTGTGCACTGTTACTATTGTAGGTGGGGTTTCCACCAGAGAAAACCACTCTGACACTTAAATCAATGGAATGTCTTTATTAGCCAGCCAATGACTACTCTGGATGTTTGGGATCCACAGCACTGAGCCTTTCTTAGGATAAGCTTTAGGAACAAAACCATATCCGGCTTGACACACCCCTTTAGTAAAAACAGTAAGAAGTAGAACTACAGAAGCCAAAAAGCAAGGTTAGTACATACAAAGACTTTTCCAGAACTATATAGACTTTGACAGATTAAGGCTTTGATTTCATGTTGGCGGTGGTGTTGTCTTCGGGCTATGTTTTACAGCCTAAATAGTACTCCCATCATGGAGGCAATTGTGCCAAATAAAGTCTTAGGGCCTACTGAGACTAAGGTCTGGAGCATGTTACAATTACTATATGAACATCAACTGTATGTTGGATCATAGAACACACATCTGATGTCCAAATAATTTCATAAAGAAACAACTTCACCTAGAGTGATGCCATATAAACAGCATGTGAACAAAGCTTTCACAAGAATTCAGTGAGGACTAGCTAGATGTCTACTCCCTCTTATCGCTTTGCCTTGGCCTGTGTGTTATTTTGCAAACTGTTAGAATTATATGAGACCTGAAATTAATGTTTTTTTTTCTTTTATTCCAAAGCTTATGCTGCTCTTCCTTTCTACAAGCCGGTGCTTAACAGACTGAGCATTTTGAACATATATTCAACAGTAAGGTTTAACATAATGTTCAACTCTGAAGCTTGTTCAGAGTTTTTGAAACCTCACCACAGTTTAAACCAGAAACAGAGATCCTGTCCATAGTTCCATAGTTCTGGTGTGTGTGTGTGTGTGTGTGTGTGTGTGTGTGTGTGTGTGATGAATGAGCATGGGTGTATTGCAAGGGTACATGAGGAGTTCAAAGGTCAATGTCAGGGGCCTTTCTCGCTCACTTTTTTTTTTTTTTTTTTACCAGTTTTTAAGACAGGGTGTCTCAATGAACCTGGAGCTCACCATTTTGACCTGATTGTCTGAGAGCAAGTCCCGGAGACCCTCCTGTCTTGATGCCACCCACATAACTGCGATTATGGGGGCCAGCACTGCACTCTGCTTTTCCTGCTGGGGACTGAATCAGATCCTCAAGCCTGCATGGCAAGCACTTTACCAACTGATCCAACTCTTCAGCCTTCTCAGTTATTTTTTAGACAACTTAGTCAATCACTGCCGAAATTTAGTGACTAATATTGTAGTCATAAATACAAGGGCAACCCTTTCACAATTTGAATATTGTATTCTTTAAAAAAAAGTCTTCCCAACTCCAAAACAATGTTTCATTTGTAACAAATTATTCACCTCTGATCTGATCGTTATAACAAATAAGCAAGGCTTATTTGTTTTGGCTGGTAATTTGACAAAAACATTTTAAAAATCATGCTTCATGTTTATATTTAAAGCAGAGAAATTACAAGTTTTTAAAGAATGATGCCATGGGTCTGGAGAGATGGCTCAGCAACTAAGAGCACTGGCTGCTCTTCCAGAGGTCCTGAGTTCAATTCCCAGCAACCACAGGGTGGCTCACAGCCATCTACGATGGGATCTGATACCCTCCTCTGTCATAAAAGCATACATGCAGATACAACACTCACATACATAAAATAAATAAATCTTTTAAAGAGTAATGATCATGCTGGGAAATGGCACAGTGGATAAACTGCGTATCATACAAACGCAAGGACCATAGTTCTGATCCCCAGAAACCATGTATAAAACTGGGCATTCATACCAGCCACTTATACAGCCAGAACTCCAAAGGCAAAGTAAGGGAGTCCTTGCATCAAGATTGCTCGCTAGACTAGCTGAAACTGGTGAGACCTTACCAAGTAAATAGTGTGCAGAGCAACAGATAAATACACCTAATGCCAACAGTGGGTCTTCACACCTAAACACACTATGTGCATGCACATGTGCACTCACATGCTCTCACACATATGAAACACACACATGCACACCACAGGCACATGTAAAAAATTCCTCTTACTAGTTGAATTGTATCAGAGGTATCTGTCAATCCAGTGAAGAAGATTAAGTTTAAGGGTCTTTAATCGTTGGTATAAATCACAGAGGTCTCAACAAGAGACTGACTTTTGTCCTGCAGAAGTGTCACCACTTTCACTTTAAATAACATTTTTTTTTCAGTTTTGCTATTAAGCAAAACACTGGCTAAGACACATTACCGGTAAATTTGCTCCTCTTTAGCTTGTGCCCATGCCACAGCACATGTTTGGAGGTCAGAGAATAACTTTTAGGAATCAGTTCACTCCTGTTCTATTACTTGGCTTCTGTTGTTGAACTCAAAGGAAACTCCAAGTAATAAAATTGATGCTATAAAGTATTAACTAATAACTTGCCTAGCAAATACTAAGTTACAGAAAGAAGAATTTAGTTAAAAGAGAGCTGTCTCCAATATGACTGGGAGACAGGTAGTGTGTGGCGATCTATTGTTTACGATCTAATAAAGCCACTGAAGATGAGAATGCAAAGCTGGTCATAGCCTTAGAAGCTGGACAGTGTTGGCACACACTTTTAACCCAAAGACTCAGGAGACAGAGGCAGATGGACTTCTGTGAATTCAAGTCCACACTGAACTACATGAGACTAAAAGAGAAACCGAGCTCATGCCTTTAATGCCAGCAAGGGAGAGATAGATAAAATAGGAGCAGGGTCTCAGATTGGGGCAATTAGTCTCCAGCTATTTGAGGATAACATTGCCCCTGCGTTGGCAGAGTCTCCTGTCACTGGCAATTAGTTTCTAGCCATGGTGAGGACAGGATCTCCCCAGCCTTGGAAGAGGTAAGAGATCTTTGGTGGCTTGGCTGCTTTGTTTCTCCGATCTTCAGCTTGTACAACACAATGTGTATCCGAGTTTTTATTATTCATGATACAGTAATGCACTAACAAGAATTGTTAGAAACTGTGGGAAAAAATATTCTGTAGCACAACTGAAGTTCAGGATTGCTGAGGAAGTTTCTGCTAATGCAATTAATTTCCAGTTAGGCTCCATTCCCATAACAAAAGGAGATAACCCAGGTTTACAACTAGCCATTAGGCCTATCCTTTATCAAAGAACATGCTCCAGGGAGTAGCACAGGGTCACAACCATCATTAAGTCCTGGTCTGCCATGAGGTTCTGTGCTCTCATCAGGAAAAGCATAATTCTGCCAGGTGGGCAAGAAAAACGCTGTGGTACTTAACTAATTCTGGCAGTCTCTTTGCTGTGTAAATCTCCCATCTGCCCAAGTGACCAGACTTGCGGTCTCCTTGTTTCTGTTATAACTGTTCAGTGTAACCTGGGGCCAGGACCTGAAAGAGATTTATGGATGACAGCCTGTGTGAAAAGCATAAGCCTAGGAAGGCATATTAATTCTACACCTTTGCCTGATCAGCCACCTTATGGTACAATTGTATCAACATTCTTTATTCTCAGCCAGCATGAGAAGTAAAGCAGGTCCCAGGGGGACCCCGTTTCCCTCCAGTGTCCTCATCTTTTTATCCTGCCTTATCTCTGTCTCTTACTCACAGTTAGGGGGGACTAGCACAAGTAGAGCTTATTGGGTAAAGCAGCAGCAATTCTCATGTGGCCAACTGCTGGAGTTTAGGCAATGCACAAATGGCACTCTATGTTTTTTTCTGACAAAATCATGAAATGTTCCTGCTTGGTCTTATTTTTCTCATGGTCTTAGAATAGTCTGGTTAGAGGTGGGCTTTTTAAGAGATTGTCTGAGATTGTTTGAGAGATTGTCTTAGCATTTGTCTTGAGATCCAGATCAACTTCTGGTGTCACCTACCAGCTGTTCCATGTCCTTTCTCAAAAGCTTCAGCCATGTTTATACTATAACCCAGACCTCCACATTTATGTGGCCCTGTGTCACAATGTTCCCTCTCCAAAAAATAAAGATACAAAAAGCTAATAGATTGTATAAGAAAAAAAAAAAAAAAAAAAAAACAAAAAAAAACATAAAGGGCACATTCTGCCCAGAAAGAATTGTTCAGGGCAAGCTACTGTCCCTGATGGGTAGCTGGCCCCTTGAGAAATGGATCCTCTTTCCATCTCCCGAGTCAAGGCTGAATCACTTTTTCTATTGTCACTAGGTGAGCACTGGACAATGAAACCAAAAAACTACTTTTCTTCCTAATGATAAACTATGGTTTGGAAGTAAACCACAGACCCTTCTCATTCCAGACAGTTAATGCTAGCCAAGGCTACACACTTTCAAGTCCAGTCTCAGCCACATATGGTGAGACCAAGCGTCAATCCAAACCAAACCACAACTAAGTCTTGTTTCTAATACAAAAATTATCTAAACAAGTTCTTAGGTTGAACTCCACGTTATATACATATTTTGGATTTTATCTTTAAACAAATCTTAATCATCAGATCCGCCCAAATCCAAAATGAAGACTGCTCGCTTGCATTAGGAACCTCAATGTGTTTAACACTCATACAAGCAACCCCCGCCTGCTGAGGGTGAGAGTCGCGGGGCCTCCAAGTCTCCAGTGCACAAGCGCCCGCGTAGAATTCAAAGAGAAAGAGGAAGCCGAGCGGGCGGGCCCGGAAACGGAGGCACGCTGGTGGCCCGGGCTGGCGGGCCCCTCGGTGCCACTTCCGGCGGTGTGAGACATGGCCGCGAGCCGAGACCGCGGGGACTTGGCTGTCCGGCAGCTTGTGTTCCTACTTCCAGGTAAACGCGGGCGATGCGTGGGCCGGGAGCGCTCAGGGTGGCGGCGGCGGCGCGAGGCTTTTGCCCGGGTCAGCACCGGTTCGCGAGGTCCTGGCGAGAGCGGGCCCGGATTCGGTGCCACACACTTTGCTGCACATCCTGGTCACGTGTCACACCAGGCGGGAACTCCAAACACGGAAGCGTAGTGAGCAACGCGCGGGTTCCCGGGTGTGTCGTTGCGGGTGCCCGGGCTGCGGAGGGTGGCGGCGGCTCCGCGGCTCCGCTGCCCTGGGAGTTACTGGGTGTCTACAGCTCTGTGTCTAGAGTCTTACTGGATCCAAACCAGAGATCTAGTACTCCTTTGCTTAGCGGGTTTGCTGCTCTAGACAGGCCTGGGTGGCCAGGCTTTAGGGAAGCTGTGTGGGGTTAAGCCGAGCGTGGTTTAAAGCAATTTCAGCGCACAGTGACTGCCGAAACCCCAGAACCAGGCCCTTCGGTATTCCTGTCAGGTGATCAGCTGTCAGGACATGTGGGGGTCTGCGACAGTGGATAGTGGGTGTCACATGAGAAGGGACCTATTAAATGGCAAATGAAATAAATTTGGGCTAGGTGATGCAAGTTAGAAACAGCCATTTTGTAGTAGTCACTAATTTAGGGTTTTAGCTCAGCAAACACAGACCATTTTTACAGAAAATATACTTCCCCAGGGTTACAGGTACCCGGAGGTATAGATTTTTACAATCGTGGCATAGCAACCAGATGCGTACTTCTTTTGCATACACAGCCCCTCTCCTTTGTAGAGGGTTAAACACAGTCAGGTTGTATGGATTTTGAGTATGCAGCTCACCCAGCTGAACGCATTGTGCTACAGATCAGCTATCAGCTCATAACCTGTCTCGAACCCCAATTGTTCTGTCATCAAATTAGTTGTGCCTGTTTGGACGCCTATGCCTTTCTGTCTTCTTTCCCTCAATGTCATTTCTGCCAGATGCATCCTTGTTTTATGTACCATGGTTTTGTTGTTGCTTTGTAATTGCTACCTCTAGTTCTTCTAGTTCACTGTATGCGGAATGCTGAGAATGGATGACATTAGGTGTTTTCTGGTTTGCAACTTTTGAGGAGTTACACTTCTGAGAATAGTCTTCTGAGGTTCTTGATGGAGACTGGCATTCATATCTTTAGAGTGTCTCTACCCTGGAGTGGTAGCTGTTCTCAGGTGCTTGTGAGTTCAGCTTTAGTACTGCGAAATGGTTTTCTGAGGTGGTTGTTACTGATTAGTTCTGACTCCAGCCCCCCCCCCCCCATGCCAAGTGTTTGGATGGTAAAGCAGCTAGTGAGAACTCATGGTTTTAATGGTCCATCAGAGGGCTAGCTGGATACCTTATTTTAATTGGGGGAGGGGACCCTCCCTTCACACTTCTGTTACATCAGTGTAATTCGATTTTCAGAGTTGGGGCCTTATTCTTTTGCAATCAATTATGTTGATACTATGTAGACACACATAGTAGCTGGTCATAGTTTGAGGGCTTTTTGTTTGTTTTGTTTTGTTGGCTGTTTAATTGGCAGTGACTTCATTCTTAAAGTGTGTCATAATCACATGAAACCCAACAATGCAAAGAGTCAAGTATTGAGTGTACCCCTCAACATGATCAGGGTGGTGGTGGTGGTGAGGAGCATTACAGCCTGGATTCTGTTGAAAGCTGAGGCACCTCTCACCTTTTCAGTCAGTGGGCTGATAGTACTGTGTGGTCAGTAGCAGGGGTTGAGGGTTCTGAAACTTAAAACTTGTGCTTCCTGTCTTCTGTTCTTCCAGATGGCCGTTAGTGCCACCTGCAGGCTCTAAGTATGCAAACACGTTTGGTAGCTGCTGTGGTGACTGCCCTCAAATGTAAGGGCATTTGCCTCTTGGGAGTGAGATGCCATCAGTGAATGTTCTGAGACCCAAGAATGTGCCTGTGTAGTAAATTCCCGAGAAGTACTGCTGCTAGTCTGGCTCATCTGGAAACACTCCTTGGAACTACAGCAATGAGGACTGGACCCAGAGAGCTAGAGTGTGGGTACCCAGGACTGAGGTTTCACTGGTGATGAAATGGAGTGCTTGGCAGAATCCAGGATGAGGGCCATCTTCATACTTTGTTGTTTCTTGCAGTACGTGAAGAGTCACCCCAGGTAGCTATGGATTCAAGAGCAAGAGATTATATATCCTAGACCAAGTGCTACGTTGAAGTTGGACCCTTCATAAGGAAAATAAATATCATATAAAAGTTAACAGGGCATTTTGCAGAAGTGGCCTGTACTGTTTGAGAACTCCCTGTTCCGAAAGTGAACAGAGGGTTGTATACATTCAGGGCACAGCCACCTAATCTTGTGATGATACTCCCCCAGCATTCAATTTGTATTCCAGTTGCCTGGAATAGGCATGAAGATTATATTTAAAAGTTGGTTACAGGTCATTTTTTCCTCTAGCTCACAATTCTTTTTTGCTAAGTTGAGAACCCTAGGTAAATAAAGCTGGACCATGCAGGGTGGGTTTATTTCCACAGGCAGATGGGATGCTGCTGCAAGGTGAAACTTCCCTGTGTCTGGGATGAGTGTAATGCCCCTCTCCTGGAGCCTGGGGATGCTACACAGATGTGTAGTTACCCAAGCCATCAACATAGTTGCTTTTGGAGTATGTTATAAGCTTCCAGCCCTTTTTCCTGACCCCTCCCAAAAAGGTAAATGGTGAGGCATATTTTTTTTTTTTTAATACTTGGTCTCTTTAATCAAACTTTTGTGCACTTGTCAGTACTGTTGAGCTAGGTTAGGGGTGAGAGTCACTCAGACTTTGGAGTGAGCAGGAAACTGCCTGTGACTATTAGGGAAGACCTCCCAGGAAGTGTCCACACCCTGGGAAACTCTAGTGTTCTATGACAATAAAAGGAGAGTGGAAATAATGTAGGGCTCATATATGTAGCGTCCACACAAAGTAAAAATGTCCTCAGTTGCCCCCCTGAGTGAGGAAGTTCCCAGATCAAATTGGGCTCCAGCACAGATCTTCAATTCTGGACCCATTTATCATTAATGCTATGCCTTTTTATTTTACAAAAGCTCATACTAAGAGGTACTACTTAGCTTCCAAAGGAAACATCTTTGTACATCATTTCCTCAGGTAGCATAGGTGATGGCTAGTTCTTCTGGAGGCTAAAGGACAGGTGGCCTCTAGGGAAACCCAAGCCTGCCATCATGAACATTCATATACAGTAGCTTTTCAGCTGGAGTGATGACCACAAGTGATCTCTAAATACAGAACACGAATTGAAACTATTGTAAGAAGTTATGGTTTAGAACTATGTTCTCATTAAAAGATTGAAACATCAGATATGGAAGGGAGAGCTAATTTTCCTTTATGATGATGGAAGGACTTTATATTAACATTGTTTCTGATTAATGGCCTTGTAAAACCAAAGAAACACGTCTTTATTGGGGTTGGAGGGCGAGAAAGAAAAGAATGAAACGTAAGGTAAAAGAAGAGCTGCTTTAGACTTTCTCAGTGATCCTAGGAAACACATCTTTTTTCTCTTACCTAAGGGATGGCACATGCTTAACCTCAGGAGAAAAGTGGAAGCCTGCTTTGCCCCCTTTGTGTGCATACATGTTTGTGTTTAGAAAGAAGCCTTGTGGGTTGAAAGCCGCCCTTCCCTTGGCAGGTGGTAGAGAGCCTAGCCAATCCAAGTGTGGCCTTGAGACAGCCTCTGAATAATTCAGTGTGGCTTCTTGGACGGTGGTTCACCATTCCTTGTAGGCAGTTTCTGGGTTGTCCAAAATACAGTGTGTTTAACATTTTCCACATAAATCTGGCTTTGTCTTTATGCAGCATTTCTTGGTGGGGCTCCGCTGACCTTTCTCAGATGGCGGGTGGATCTGCTCCAGGCTGTTGAGCACGTTCTGAAGTGATGGATGGAATCGATCAGTTGCCAGTTGGTAATCTGTTGGTGTAATCTTGTCCTCTCAGTGATCGTTCCAAAAGATGTGCAACAAGCAACAACTTATGGCTCCTACAGCTGTATCCTCTAGGGCAGAATAAAAAATCATAAAAGAAAGTAAATTTTAAAATTTGAATAGCATCATAGGAACGGCAAAGATTTGTCACAACATAGAGCTTTACCTGGGATGTTAGGAAACAGCTCAGTCGGTGCTGAATCCTGACTGTAATGAAAAACACCTGGAGGCTGGTTCGTGTTCTTTATCAATTCTGTGTCCGTGGACAAATCTGCCTCTTGCCGGTCTCTGTTCCTCATTTCTACAGTGGTAGAGCAGAGTCCGTTTTGTGGGCTCGTTAGTGGTGGGCTAGTGTTAATGTCCACTCTTGTCCGCCTTCAGCAGGGCCAGGGACAGAATGGGGTTTTGATAATCACCCCCTCAGTTTAATTTCTTCCTGCTGTGTCTTCCCTAACACCTTCTTTGCTCTTGTGCCAGGTTCTGCTCTGGCTTCAAGGCTCAACTTTATTTCCCACAAAGCCAAGTTATTTGCTCCAGCTCAACTTTTCTTTCTTTGAGTGTTGGTGACTTTTTATCTGCCTGCAAACCTGTCTCCACTCTCTCTGCTTGGAAAATTCTTGAAACCCAGCTTCAAGGCCACCTCTGCACGGAACCCTTCTCACTGGGTCCTTTCTGTTAGTGGAACCTCTTCTGCAAGTGACATATGTGATTATTGTTTTTGTATAAATAAGTATGTGTTAAATTCCTACACAAGTTAGGAGTTGAGGGGAATCTAGGCGTGTTCTCTCTCAGTAGCCATTAGCTTGTCAGCAGTGATGTTGGCTCCAGCTTCAGAGGGTGCCTCTGAGAAGCATGTCATTTTAAGCTTTCTTTATGACTCCATTGGTTACCTTGTGCTGAAGTGGCAAGGGAAAGGGCTTGTGAAATCACAGCTGCATGGTGCCCACCCCAATTCCTTTCCTGAAGCTGTTGGCTGATGCATGAGACCTTTCCTGCTAGAGCAGACTCTCATGAAGGCCTGGGTTTGCTAAGATTCTGTG